TGATGGGTGACTTCGGCCTGCCCAAGATTACAGGTCATTGGCTGGAAAAAGGCTCGTGTTACTGCCTTCCCTGTAACCCCTACCACCGGCACAGTCTTTTTACTTAAAGGTTTCAGTTTTTGAGTTAAGACAGAATGGGCAGCACCTGTATTGACAAGAAAATCTATTAATTTATCTTTGTCCCCTAGTTGCATTTTAACCAGAGGCTCGTCAGGGGACACTGGGATCTGGGTTATCTTTTCCCTCACGGGCCTCCGGTCCCCTTTAATCTGAATCCCTTCTAAAAGCAAACAGTCTACTGCGCTCCTCTCTTTTCTTTTCCTGAACACTTTCTCGGTTAATAAATACTTGGTAAGCAATGTCTACTAGTTGGGAAATAGGCATACCTGCTGCTCCGTCTGTCTTCTGCAATTTCTTTCTAATGTCCGGTGTACTCTGACCTATAAAGATCATATTTACCACGCGAGCGTTTGATGTATCCTCCGGGTCCTCACGGGTATATTGTCTGAAAGTAGTGTAAATTTTTTTAAAGAAAGCACTCGGGGTCTCATTCGTCTCCTGTCGGACCTCATATACCTTATTAAAACTCTGAGGTTTTTTCACAGCATCTCTCAATCCTCGGGGGATATATTTTCAATAGGCGTGGATAGAGATCATAACTTGGTCTGGTTTTTAATCTGGCCCCTGGGTGGGGACATGATTGTCCCTATTTCCTTGCAAGTTCCCTGCGGTAATTTTTTTTTTACGTACTCACGGGCTTTGCCTTCTACCATTTTTCTCTCCTCTGGTGTCAACAGGATATCTAAAAGAGACTGAACATCTGCCCAGGTTGGGTTATGGGTTTTGAAAATCGTTTTAAACAGGTTTTGTACCTTTTCAGGATCTTCTCTCAAGCTGGGGGTATTGTTCCACCAATTATATAAATCTGATGTAGTGAAAGGAATGTGCACAAAGGTTTGACGGTAAGTTGGCTCTCCCTTGTCTTCGAGAGGCCCTGGTACCACTTGTTCTCTTAGGGGAAATACCCCATTTC